AGGGAGATACGTCCTTTATTTCTGAAATCTATCACATTAAAATGTATATATCCGTTTCATGCTAGCACTGGAGAACTAGACGAAACTGGGCTTATGAATACCCTCGGGGACTAAAAGTCCACCAGCAGAGGCATATTACTAACATTAATTTTCAGTTATAATTCTCTCTTTGCTACAAGGATATACAATTTTGATAATACATTTTTTTATTTCGTAGGCACACATAACCAAAAAAATGGGGGAAGGGGTATGTTTATGTGATAAATATAGTAGCCCTTTATAAAAATTCACCCTCACTGATACTTCTGTTATAGTATCAGTGAGGGTGAATTTTTATAAAGGGTAGTTTTAGCTTAAATTTTGGATTTTTCAGTTGTAATACTTTGAAAATATATCTTAGAAAAATATTTTATTAAAAAAAGTCAAAGAATCCTTGGGGTACGGAACACGGGAGGGGGTCCTGTCACCAAGCACCTGTGGCTACAACGGTCACACCGTCAATATATTACTGTATAATATGTTAGCCAATATTCATGATACATTGTAACAACCAGCCTTCCACATGTATTTGTGTTACACGTGAAACGACCTTTTTCAAAATCGTCGTGTATAACTCAGCCTAAGAATCAAACATTTGGCTAGTAGCCTAGTTCAATATAAACAACTCTTAATAAAAAAAAAATAAAAGTTTACCATAATATTTATGAATTATGCACAGTTTAATCTTCATGCCTTACTGGAAGCAGCTTCAGAGTTATTCTAAACAAAACTGTATACGTACAGCGCTGATGTTTCCGGTAAAATCTCGACAACTATCTATTTTTCTTTTTTTTCTTTCTTTCCTTTTTTTCATGATTTATATTTCTAAATTTTTTTGGGGGGGGGGGGGGGGGGGGGGTGTATACATTTTTTTGGTCCGCGAAAAAGGGGGGGTCCGGACCCCCTGGACCCCCCCTCTGGATCCGCCCTTGGGTAAGAAAAAAAGGTAGATCCGTAAACATGGCATCGTTCTCATTTTGCTATTGAAGGAGAACTTTTTATGCGTATAATTGAAATAAACATGCCATAAGTAATAAATATTTTACAACGCTGATCATATTTTTTTTTGATTAGGTTTTAAACGTGTTTGTTGGTTCCCGTACAGAGTATTCGATGGCAACTTTTTCTTTTTATTAATAAAGATCTTTCCAAGAGAGAGAGAGAGTGATAGAAGTACGAGTATCTTTTCTTTGTTTGAAATGAACACAAACAAATTAAATGAAAACAATATACACCCAGATCTCATAGAAACTTTTTAAAGAGTCAAATAATACACCATTATTTACTGCTCGATTCTCACATTCACCTGGAACACAGATTCTAAGCGTGTTTACCATTACGTAATCTATCCGTCGATTACACGCGGCCGAGAAATCTAAAGCGACAACCGCGGTGAATCATTGACCCTGCAGTCGTAGGCAAAATAATTGATATATTAAAACCTTTCTACAACACGACAATTAATGGAAAATTCTTGTTGTCGAATATTTGAGATTAATATGTTGGCTTAACTTTGTTTTAAATTTGAACGTGATACATATTTTAACTAAAACAGCTATCTAGGTTTTGTGTTTGTTTACAATTACGCGACCAACCATTCTTTCCATCGCTTGTTGACATTAATTTCGCCGGGTTGTAGACGTGTCTAATTTACAAACTTACGGGAAAATATTATTTTCTTTAAGTAAATCGAATCTTTAAAAAAATCTTAACTCTTTACAACTTACAGAATTGCTATGCAACATACATTGAATCCTCGCATCATAGAACTTTTATTTTACCATTTCCCCGCAAGCACTTTATAGCGGGGTACAAATTTCTCTTACGTTTAGAGTAAATAATATTCTGAAATAATATTTTAATTAGAATATAACTTTTCTTATTTTATGAGATTCAAGCAAGTATAAAAAAGTTGGAATTTGACAATAAATTGAAGATTAAATGAGCTTTTTAAAGTGCGTGAAAATGCGTGATTGCGGGGAAACGGTAAATGCGTGATTTTGCGTTAGAAATAGGAAATGGTATATGCGTTAAAATGCGTGACTGCGGGGAAGGGTGTTAAATTGTCTTAAGTTTGACTTCAGCACAAAATCCTGGGGCATTTACTTTACCTGTACTCAGTACATTAATCATACAAATCAGTCTTCAGTTTTTAAATGTTCGTTAGCTCCATGTGTAATTTTACTTTTTATTATGACGATTCATTGCGTAAGGACTATAGCGATCTGTGGTTACTTTACTTCAACCAATATTGATTTAAATACATAAGCTTTGCCCTTTTCACACACAAATAAATCCGTTTTCAACACAAATTTTCCCAAACACATTTTTTTTCCATCACAGATTTTTTCCATGTCTATACCAATTTTAAACTTTTAAAGAGAATCTTCCGAATCATAAGGATAGAATTATAGTCAATGAAATGGATTAAACATCGATAGTTAACTCCGGCACGTGTAAACTTCATAAATGGCTTCTGTGCTGCACAATGCATACTTGTATTACAGGTTCGACACTAGTAAAGTTGAAAAAATAATTCAAGATTTTAAAGCAATGAAATTAATTTGTAAAATAATTTATTCAAATCCCGTAAATGATTAGTATACCCGGTAGTGTGCTAACATTGTAATTTTGTTCCGTGATTAAATATCGGTACCAAGTTATACAATGTACATGTAAGTAGTAATAAACTCGCATCCTATGTCCAGAATCGAAAATTTAAGAACTTATATAACAATCTGCAGCTACTGAATATCAAAAACTTATCATGTATACCTTTACAACCTAATTTAAACTATTAAAATAATATCCGGCACCATAGTCAAACCATTTGTATCGTTTATCGTATATAACTCAGTATTTTCTTTAAAATTATGAGCTTATATCTAACACACATTACTTTTCCTGGTTTAAAAAAATAAATGTACGAAAGAAGGCAAGAGAGAGGCATTTTGTTCAAGTACATTCATGTATTTAACAGAGAGTCTCCCTGTATCAATTATTGAGTAATTTATTTTATTAAACATAACCCCCCCTTTCTTTTTTAAATTAAATTTATTTGTTGATTTTATTCAACTTCAAGCACAATATGTAAGTAATAAAAGTCCATGCATGGATGCTATTGTACATCAGGAATTTTCTTTTATCTTTTATCCATGCATTTCTCCTTCAAGGAAAATAATTATGAATAAATTAATTGAAGGACGTGTATAAAACCATGTGGTTTGGGTTTGTCAATGTGTTTTAGATCATGATCAGCAAATCACAACTCCTTGGGCCTTTCTGTCTAACGGAATAATAATAATCTCGAATGTATTACGTATACACCATAACTCCCCCATGCACCCCACCCCCTTTCCCCAAAGTTTGAAATAAATATTCTTATTCAATGGACTGATAGTTGTATTTAGCCTAAACTTTCAACACCCCTCCCGAAATATTTCAGAGGCAAAATTCTTAACCATTTTTTTTTTGGGGGGGGGGATATGATTGATATGTTTTAACGTCCCTCTCAAGAATATTTCACTCATATAGAGATGTCATCATGCACTTGCCAGTGGAGAGCTTCAAATATCCTATAATCGGCACTTAAGGCCTTTGACCGGGGGGAGGGGGATCTTTTTCGTGCCAGCACCTTAAGCGACACGGGGCCTTGTTTTATACGGTTTCATCCGAAGAACAGGCCTCCACGTCCCACAGTGGGATTCGAACCCACGATGTAAGGATGAACTCCTTACTTTGCGACTGTAGAGCAGACGCTCTAATCAGTGCGCTATGAGGGCGACCTTGGATGATATAAAATGAAGATAATGAAAAAAACGGTTAGTAAAATAAGAAGGGGTCGTTTTAAAATATTATTCTTATGAACCTCTGGGCAAGAATGAGAAACTATACTTATGAAAGCTTCCTGATATAAAAAAAGATTACTTTCTTTTCAAATCATGACCAGAGTTTCCCCCACAAAGTGATTGAGTATTTTAGGGGGTAGGGTGGATGGGTTGGGAATTAAATTGTCTGTTTAACTGTCCAGATGTCTGTCTGTCCCTCAAAGTTTTTCCCAGAAGGCCAGGCTATAATGATCCTAGGATGTGTCATGAATCAAGGCAATATTACGGCAAATTCAAGATCACTGGAGAAAGAATAAATGTTTTGTCGCAGTCATTTATATGTAATTGAGAATATTTGTTTGCTAATACTTGATACAGAGATTGCTTGTGACAAAAGGATTTTTCTATGATTGTGACTCCGAAAATAGTATCATTTCAATTTGGACAATTTTTGTTTAAGTTCATACTTGATAAAAATTGTTTATAGTCCGCCGGTTTCAGATGACTTAAAATAAGGCCATTTTAACAAATTCAGGGCCAATGACAGAAAAGTTGTAAAATTACTGTCAGAGTTATGAATTTTGAATCACTAAAAGTTGTTTCAGATTGAAGGTTTGTCTTGACACAGAGCCAATTCTGTTAAGATCAAGGTCACTGACAGAAAAAAATATTTTCTTTCCCATGCTATGAATTAGTAAATGAAAATCATTGGAGGCTCTTACTTGAAACATAGATTACTTATGATTGGAGGTTGTGTCATGACCCTGATCAAAGGTCTTTCTAGCAAATCTAGGTCACTGACAGAGAAAAAATGTTTAAGCATAACTAAATTACAGATATGTTCACATAAATAAGTCGCAATTTGACATAATTATCTTGCATGTTGACATAAAAAAGTAGCATGTCTACATTTATGACAAAAGAAATTGTGTTATTATTTACAATTATTTTGATGCTTCATGATAAATTGACTAGATTTAAGGTAGGACACAATAGATAGGCCAAAATTTTCCTCAAATTCAATTTTCCTGAAACTTTGATATTTTGTTCTAGGATACAAAATCTCTCTTTATGTTTGATATGAAAGAAATGCAACCGCACATTTTTTGCCCACATAGTCTGAAATATGGCCCATCAGACCCCTGTAAGAAGATTGTAAAATCAGACATTAGACTTGAGAATGGGCCTTATTTTAGAATTATCAATTGAACTATTGCAAATTTGTGTAATACTTTTAATAAAGATAACATTTTTTTGCTTTAAGTTAGTGAGTCAATTTGATACTTGAAAATTTGAGTAAAATATTAAGAAAAAATAGAACATACGTTTCGTCGGAATTCAATGGCTTAAAAACTAAAAGATTCAGTAGATGACGTCACAATATTTGACCTTTGACCTCTTGATATGACCTTTACCTTAGTAGTACATAAAGAACAGATACTCCTTATATATGTATCCAAATATCATTCCTCTACTATGTATGGAACAAAAGTTACACTGCATTTTATAACGGACTGTCCCATGCTTATTTATTACACTTAGTTAGCATAAAACATTCCAAAATGTAAACCCCCAAGTGACCAATATATAGGATTCTCTGATTTGTTCACAAAATATGACACAAACATGCCAAAACTTATTATTTTTCTTACAGGGATCATTCATTGTCAATATAGTAATATTATTCTTCTTTTCTCCGGTAATTTTTAGAAATGGTTTAAAATATAATCCACTGGTGTTTTGTCCTTCCTTAAATCTAAATAAAGTGTACTAGTAACTCTTACTGCAATACCTATTGTTAACAGAAATAAATAATATAGAACTTTATAATGATAAAATAAGACAGTTATGGTCTAAAAATATTTTTAGTCACGAGGAATTGGCCACGTCCTTTGCAGGGGCGTAGCAACAGGGGGGGGGCCAGGGGGGGGGCCTGGCCCCCCACTTTTTTTCCCAACCTTACTTATACTATAGGAATGTTAATTGAAAGACTGGTTGGCCCCCTCAGTTTTAGGGATGTACCGAAAATGTAGTATTAGAATTGGTACTAAAAGTAGTTGAAACTGATAAAAAGTTTACATACTACCCCCCCCCCCCCCCCCCACGAAATAGGATTTTCGAGTTTGGGCAACTTTTTTTTTTTTTTTTTTTTTTTTTTGCTTGTCAACTTTTTCAGGCAAGTAAAAAAAAAAATTTTCTGTCTGGCCCCCCCACTTTCAAAAACGATGCTACGCCACTGCTTTGACGACATTGAAACAAATGGATCTCTGCTATGATTCTCTTTGTGGGAGGATGGAGAGTCACTGGTTGAGCTTGATTCAGAAACAAGTCCCAATGTTAAGGCCAATCGCCTAAAAAACGCGAATGTATCTTTTCGGAATACAATATAAATCCATGGATCAATGATGGAGTTCAAGACAGCAATACGTATAGCGTTCAGTTCAAACCGCCCATTTCCGGAAATTGTTCCAATTGCATGTCCGAAAATGTTAATCTGTAAAGAAGAACAAAAGGAAAATATTAAGCATACGAACAGGAACATTTTTCATTTTTTTGTGATTAAACAAATGTTTTTACATGAGGAAATCATTTGTACTGGGGGTATACGGTTTTGATTTTAGCATTTAAGTCAGCCTTCGCCATTTATTACTTATATTATAAATTGTCGAATTCTTATCCCAATATCCCCTTACACCTCAATACTTACTAAAAGTGGTGTTATACAGGATGTAAAGAGGATCACGACTAAGACCAGGAAGACCAAGATATATGTGTTTTTCTTCTTTGTTATGCACATATTCTTCTTCTTACGACTGTCATAGCAGACTTTTATAATTACTGTTGTGATGAGGACAATTGTGGTGGCAAGAATCAGAATGCTCGTCAACGAGTAAAAGAAGGCGAGGATCCTGTTTAATTTGGCATCTGCTACAAAGTCCAGAAAACACCAAGAACCCGGGAAAAAACTCTGACTTTTAAGACCAACGATCAGATGGAGGCTTGATGAAAATGCAGTAAAAATCCAAATTCCGACTATCATTAAAACAGTTCTCGTGTTTTTTGTTAGCGAGTTGTAAAAGTGGGGATACAGAATTGCAATAAAACGGTCGAAAGACATTGCACAAATAAATAGTGCTGAACCCAAAACAGTAAACATGAAAATAAATGCCATATAGTCACACAACGGCCGCGGATAGTCAAATTTGAATTCGCTACCATAACGAACCATAACAATAGGGTAGGAAAGCAATATGCCACCCCCATCTGTGATGGCAAGTCCACAAACGAAGCGGTAGAAGGGTCGCCATTTGTGATTTTTTGAAGAACAACAGAGAATAGTCAGTGCCAATACATTTCCCGTAAGTCCAAAAACTAGTAACAGAGCTGCTGGAGCGGCGGATGGCCATTCAGGTCGCGGTGAAGTTGTCAGATTCTTGTCCATCAAAGCTGTAGTCAGTTCCATCGCTATATTTTCAGATTGTTTTTCCTAATTTTTTTCTGGAAAGATGTATATATATATATACAGCCTGATGTTGCACCGGGAATTTTGTGGCGAAAATGTTTCCTGTCTTAACAAATTTACGTGCGAAAAGCCTTAAACAAAAATCTTTTTTGTAACAATGATGCATTTTCATGGAAACACAGTTGATGTATTATCGGCCGCAGGAACGTAAGGTCTATTTGTGGTTATGAATAAATAACAAGTAAATAAAATATAATATTTATAAAATTTATGAGTAAAATATTTTATTGAAGTTATAAAACAAAAAAATATAATTTTCCTCATGTAGACTTTCCAACATAACCGATACGGGCCGATAATACATCAACTGTGTTTCCAAAAGAAATTGTCCTGAATATGCTACACCTGCGAATGACGAATTTTTTAATCATAGGCATCAACAAAAACAGGAAGAAGATTCAGGGATTGAGTACATGGAAAGTTTATCCTTTTTGCGGTCTGAAAATCTGAATAGAGCAATACATTGATCTACGTAAACGTTTTTTTAAAAGGAAATTCAACGTTTAAAGCTGGTAATTCTATTTTTAAAGTTGGGGTTTTCAACATTTCAGATTAATTTTTAGAGATTAAAGTTTTATTTTCTTTAACGACAGTCTGAAATAGTGGACCCTTACTCGTGAAGACTGAAACTTAATTTTGTTTGCGGCCGATTCGATGCTTTGCGTCAAATTTACTTGCTTGTCATTGAAATTATTAAACTCTTATATAATTATCATCTCACACTGTGACGTAGCATCGTTTTTGAAAGGGGGGGGGGGGCAGCCAGAGAAAAAAAAATTACTTACCTGAAAAAGTTGACAAGCAAAAAAAAAAAAAAAAAAAGAAAGAAAGTTGCCCAAAGTCGAAAATCCTACTTCGTGTGTGTGTGTGTGTGGGGGGGGGGGGGGGGGGCTTAGCTTAGTGGTAAACTTTTCTCAGTGTTAACTACTTTTAGTACCAAGTACCTAATACTAAATTTTCATTACATCACTTAAAGTCTAAAAGTGGGGGGGGGGCAGCCCCCCGGCCCCCCTGTTGCTACGCCCCTGTCACATACGCTTTAGAATAACATAGCCGTCGGAAGCAAATTAAAAGTGGGGTGGCTAAGTAAGGGGGTGGGGCTAAACCATCGAAAAAAGCTAAGCCCCAATTTTCAATGCTTATATTATGTCTATCTTTGAAACAAAAGTGGGGGCTAAGCCCCCCCCCCCCCGCCTATGAATATAACAGATATATGTAGATCTACCATGTTATAAAAATCACATTGTGCTACGCCCCCCCCCCCCTCTCTCTCTCCACTGGATTCTTTTTTGTTGTATTTATTTTTTTAATCACAAACTGTTACAGTGTTGGTGATTTAAGTACTCATATCCTGTGAATGTGTCTTCTTTTCACAACTAATAATGTTTTTTTCTTCTTTTGTACATGAAAAGTTTATTTGTTTCAGCCTTTCTGACGTCTTTCTAATTTTACATTCTTTGTTTACAATGAGATTAGCCTCAATGTATATATTAAGGATAATTAAATAATTGACGTAAAATCGATGAGCTGAGACAGATAAACTTCCTTTCTTTTAAGAAATGAAGTTTATTATGTTCCCCAAACGAAGTTGGGGAACATATTGTTTTTACTCTGTTTCTTATTATTATTATTATTATTATTATTATTATTATTTTTCTTCTTCCTGGGAAAATTTTGTCCACGAGTGATCTTGTAAACTACACATCCGACTTAGGTGAAACCTCTTTAGGGTTAGTAGGCATGTTATGTAGAGTTGCCAAACAAAGGTCATTTTGCGCGCACGTGCTTGCAAGAGCGCGCACGTGCATTAAGTGAAATTACCAATATAATGGATATTGTCGTAACTTTTCTATTTTTTGATGAAATTTTTTGAAACTCATAATGTAAGTATACATTAGTAGTATAGACAAGATAGCATGGTCAAAATAGCAAGATTTCACGCGCATGCACGTGCGCTTTGCTCTGATTGGCTGAAACTAAAGTATCAATAACTTTCTTGTTTCTTGTCATATTCATTTGAAATTTTGAACATAGTCCTACATTATAATGATCTACCGCATGATATATAAGAATTTTCATGAAAACATGCGCATTTGCGTGTGCTGCAAGCTGATTGGCTGAAACTTTAAATGGCTATATCTCCTTTGTTTTTTGACGAAATTCTTTGAAATTTAAAATATAGTCATGCATTGGGATGTCCTACAAAATGATATAGAAAAAAAATCATGAAATCACGCGCATGCACGTGTGCTGTGATTTGATTGGCTGAAACTTTAAATTGCTATTTCTCCTTTGTTTTTTGACGAAATTCTTTGAAATTTAAAATATAATCATGCATTAGGATATCCTACAAAATGATATAAAAAAAATCATGAAATTACGCGCATGCACGTGTGCTGCAATCTGATTGGCTGAAACTTTAAATGGCTATAACTCCCTTGTTTTTGAACCAAACAGGATGGGATTTAGAACATAGATAGATGTAAGAGACTCCTACAAGAAGGTATGATCATCATGCACGTGCACGCACGTGCGTGCATTTAAAACGAGTATATTTAAAAATACTCTTGAAAGACAAGATGATATGGTCATTATGCACATGCATTCACATGCGCTTGGGTGCAATGCTAAAAATTGAATAATTGGTATCCTTCTGGAAAAACGTTGTTAAAGTCAAAAATGCACAGAGTTTATCTTATTTAATGAAGCTTACAGGGAATATGGCACCGAAAGGGAGTTGGGGAGCGTTTGGGGAACATCTGTAACGGTTCCCGTTACAATTAGCACTAGTTATAAATTGAAGTTGTTACTTTGGCCTCAGTGCCATTTTCTAGCATAATATCAAAATATGATGATATATAGTTGTGTTAAACTCTATGGAGTCTTCTATTTCGACATCAGTGAAATGTTTCGAATCCATGTATGAATGAAAAAATAAAACTTCGATGTACCTAAATTTCGACTTGAATTAAAGGCAACGTCAACAGACTTCTTTTCATATAAAAGTTTATGAATAAAACCGATTAATGTTAGTAATGTTTACTGACGTTTTTGATATAAATCGCTGGGCGATAATTTCTCTACTGAATTGACTTTTACTCCTTTCATCCAATCAAGACAAAAGGCTCACGGCGGAACATTCGATAGGGGATGCTCACTCCTCCGTGGCACCTGATCACACCCCGGATGTTTCCGAGGCCCTCAATTTGTTTAGTTTTCTTTGACTTTGGAGCAAGATTATTAGGGCCCCGCTTGGCGGGCGCCCTATAGTAATCAGTCCGTCCGTCCGTCCGGCTGTCCGTCCGTCCGTCCGAGATCTCTTGTCCGGAGCATATCTTCTCTCTTCTTGGCCCAATCTGGCTCATACTTCACCCACAGAGTGCCTTTAGGTAACCAGTGTGCAGTGACCTTGAATCATGTTTCTAGGTCAAAGGTCAAGGTCATAGCAGACTTATATGAAAAATCCTTGTCCGGAGCATATTTTCTCTCTCCTTGACCAAATCTTGCTCATACTTCACCCACAGAGTGCCTCTGGGTAATCGGTGTGCAATGACCTTGAACCATGTTGCTAGGTCAAAGGTCAAGGTCATAGCAGACTTATATTAAAAAATCCTTGTCCGGAGCATATTTTCTCTCTCCTTGACCCAATCTGGCTCATACTTCACCCACAGAGTGCCTTTGGGTAACCGATGTGCAGTGACCTTGAACCACGTTTCTAAGTCAAAGGTCAAGGTCATAGCAGAATTTTATAAAAATCCTTGTTCGGAGCACATATTCTCTCTTTTTGGCCCAATCAGGCTATTACTTCACTCACAGAGTTCCACTGGTCAATGGATGTGCAGTGACCTTGGTCGAAGTTTCTAGGTCATGGTCAAAATTACCCTCTCTGTTTAAAATCTTTGTTCGGTGCATAATTTTTTCCCTTTAATTCCAGTAAATTTATATAACTGGGGATACAAGATAACTTCGATATATATCTGTAAATTTGCAATATCCTTGAAGTCATACTAAATGAATTTTACTGTATTACACAAATGTTCCTCTTCAAAATAAACACATTTTCATGTTCATTGTTGAAAGCGGGGCCCTTTGAGATGGCCACCATCTCAATGATATCTAGTTATTCATTGTGTTCATATTTCATTATGTACTATAGAAAAAAAATCACTTCCATTGAGTGGAAAGTTTAAAATATCTAAAACTGAAAAGAGATAAAGTCATTTTGAGAATTTTCATGTTTAAAAAAGAACTATGAGCTAGATGAAGATGGCATTAAATCCAAATCGTCTAAAATGCCGCTGTTTTAATGATCTTTACCAAGACTATATTGTTACAAGCCTTGTCAGATGGAAACATGTTACCTACTGATCATTTAGTAATAATGTAATAACTATCATAATTAACGGTGTATCTTTTGATGTTTTACTTTATATCTTCATTAAATGATTCCAAGAAAAAATATGTTCTTTAAAAACGGTCGAAAATATCTTTAATACAACGCTAAGCCATCATTATGTTCTAGTATTCACGAGCTCTTATAATTTGCCTATTGTCATTATATAAGTATGCCAACTAATTGTGACATTTTGTAGAACTGCCCTTATTTGAAGTGTTGCTTTTCAGATCAATTAGGTTTATAGCAATGTCTCTTATTTTCTGGTTGGATAAAGAGAAATCAAAATTTTTTTTCTCCATGTTAGGGTATAAAGCTGTAATTTATCCGTCTTAAGAAAATGTTGCTTTGCAAATGATCAAACTTTAAATCGAAAGTTCTAGCATCCATTTGGCTGGGATTAAATCGGTATATTAAGAAAAACTGAATAAGTTTTTTTCAAGTATGAGAACATGTTGATAATAGATTTTAGTAATATGAAAAAAAGAGCTATATTTTCCATGAATTTTTTTTTTAAAGATTTTATATACAAAATCATTATAATGAATGTAGACGTCTCATAATGC